GCTGAGTTGGAGACAAAAGCTCATGCTTCTCCAGGTATTCCATCAACAGATCTGCCACAATAGCCTCCATGAATTTCGACAGTATCGGAAGAAGTGCAACAGGGCGGGATCACTACGAGAGACACCCCTTTGTAAATGGGAGAACTTACCCCTTCCTTCCATGACTGCGGAATTACTGCCTTGTTGGACATCCTTTGGCAAAGAGCAGTCAAAGATTTGGAAGTGTTATTGGCTAGCGACATCAGAGTCCGGGGATGCATGTTGTCTGCGCCTGGGGATGAACTCTTACGCCCAAGTTAGTAATTTTACTCAAACCTTCTCATTGTCAAAAGCCATGTTATCCAGTGACAGATACGGTATAGGGGGCAGTTTGCTTGGAATCTGTAATACTTCGTATGTCGTTGCAGTTAACACCTGAGCGAACTGATTTTGGGGAAATCTGCTGCTTCTAGAGTGGTGAGTGAAACATTTCCAGACGATCTCAATATCGGCATTCCACTTTTCACCTTCCTTGTAGAGTTGATATGCTTATAAAGTAATTTTGAATCAGAAATGAATTTTTGAGCCAGTTTCTTGGTACATCAATTTGTTCTCTGGTTCCAACTTGATACACTGATTTCGCAGTAGGGAATAATTATTCCAAGTTTCGATAGGTAGACATCTCTATTCCCGCCAGGCAAAGTTCCTTTGCTTTGTCCATTTCTTTGTTCGGCTGCGAATGAATAAATGACGAGTTTTAGATTTAGCACAAGGTTTTATACTTGTTGCAGCCGTTACAATTTCGATAAGATAATCAGTAAAGCACTGACATGCCACCAAATGATCGTGATCATCTTCTGGGAGGACCAATTGCTTAAGTATTGCCCGGTTTTGCACTATTTTGTAGTCTATGTTGGCATGAGTACTGCTCTTTCGGTTTTCTTGGGTAGAGGCATAGCCTATATAATCAAACTTCAATACGGCATGATCACTACGTCCTTTTAGAGACGTGAAATTGACAGATTCCACCGTCAGCTCCTCGTTAGTCAGCACCAAATCCGGTGTTGATGGTTCGTGACCTGCTCCAAATCTGTTACATGGTTGTACAGTGGGTGCAATTTAGTCAACCGAGATAATTGTCTCTCGAGTCGCTGGCAGGAAGTCCTCGTTCTTATGAGATTGGGACAGTTAAATTCACCCATTATGAGGGCATGGGTGAACTTTAGTGATAACGCATTCCTCATGGTTTGCGAAAAAATCTCGCTGGCTGAGTCTGAAGATGCGGGAGGCCGTTATACAACACCGATAAGACACCTATCATTTTTTGGAGAGTCTTAGTGAACACCATAACGAATCGGGGGCTGAGTCGGGAATATCAGGCTGCTCACACTGTAAATTGTTTCGATGATGAAGTGGCACTCCACCGACTTGTGTAGGACGATCACGTCGGAGCAGTGACATTCCAGATAGAAGCAATTCCGATTCGAGGATGGCAGTGGTCAGACAGGTTTCAGTAACGGCAACAATGTCAAATCGACTAGTTTTTCATAGAAGTTCCAACTCCCTGAATTTGCTAAGGTAACCTCGTGCACTGGTATAAAAACATGACAGATATCTTCGGCAAGGAAATGTATCTGATTATGTGGCGTTGTTTCTGCCGACCAAATTGGGGTCAACCAACAATGATTTTTTGTAGAATTGGCTTCGTCGGTACTGCTTGGTGAACGTGGAGTGATAACAATCGCACAACACAATTTCCCAAAACTGAAATGAAGGGAAGGATCGTGATATCGATGGACGGACGATATCGGATATCAAACGTATTCCTGTGATTCGGAAATGGGATTCAACTGGGATAAAATTCTCCAGGAAAAAAAAACGAGTGAATAACTCCGATAGATTCATTAGAAAAAAAGATATGGCGAGCAAGCTTGCTTTCAGTGCTTTATCCACTGGCCAATTACAGCACATTATGTAACTCAGGGAAGTAACACGGGAGACAGTCAAATTAGGGTAGTATGTGCGAAATGGAGGTTCAGCGGTTGGGATTGAGGGAGGGAGGGAGAGGTATTAACACTGATCGCATAATTGGGGATAATTCCTTGCGGAGTGTGAATATTCGACTGAAGTGTTAGGTGGGGGCACTTCGGACACACGGACATGGGAGGAAAAGGGATTTAACGAATTGTTTGTGTGCACATAATAGGGGTTTGTTTATTCTAATTGCTATCGCCTCTGCTGTAGATAACAATCGAGCTTTCACATCCCCGTCAGTAAATAGACTGGATGGAACGATTCCCGTACATTCACGTTGTGATTCGTCTCAGCCAGACGTATAGCAACCGCACTCGCACCTGCCTTTATCGGTCTCCGACTGAGCCAAGGTGGGGGGTGTTTTCTCATCTGATGGACCAGAATTCTGGTGGTGCGACCAACGTAACTTGGCCACAGGAGCAAGTAAACTGGTAAACACAGAAAGAGGTCATCTACATCGGTAGCCTATCCTTCATCTGTAACGGGAAAACTGATTTGGAAGCGTAGAATATACACAATTCCGTTGAGAGATAACTATTTTCTACTACATTCCTCAGCCGTTTGCTCATTGTACTCGTTACCTTTGAAACGGAATGAGATGTGAACCTTTTTCTTTTCCACTGTTTGGTTTTTTGATTTTGCAATGTAAGCCACACACAACGACTGACAAGTTCCTCTGGGTATCTATTTTTTAGGGATGTTGACTTAACTGTTGCCGATTCATCATTCATTGTGTCAGTAGAACAAAATCTTACATTATTGGCGATGCACTGGATTAGGCTGTGTTTAAGTTGGGTTGGAACAAAACTATGATAATTGTCCTACTGTCCTGTCCACGTATTTTTTCTGTGTAGACTTCTTTTAAGGGAGCCATCCGCGCGGCGTGACAAGCAAATATCACGAAAAGCCATTCCCTGAGCAGTTCCGATCTCTAGCGTGAAGTTTATATTAGGATAAGCCCGACTGAAACTGTCCAAAAGCGTTGAGGGATTCCGTGAATAAACAATAACACAAATAATATCATCAACATGATATCTGTATAGGGCACAATGTTCGATACAGGTGGACAATATTACATTCTCCAGCTTTGCCATAAATATATCTACCAATAAAGGGCCTAATGGTGAGCCCATAGCAATTCCATCTTTTTGACGATACCAGCAACCGTTGAACTGAAATTGGATAATTAAAGTGCATTGCAGAGGTTTTCTTAGGCGAATCACTGGAATTCCAATATTCATGTTTTTTTCTATGTATTCACACGAAAAATCATTTTTTTTCCTTTAAGATAGTACTGCTGAGTAGCGAAGTTACATCCAACGACAATATACGCCTGTTGGTTGCGACTAATGATTCTATAAAATCCACAAATTCAAATGAATCCTTCTGAGAGTATTTTGCCAATTCTTTCCCTACTGGCTCAATTAGTGCGCCGAGCAACCTTGCCACCGCGTGATAGGACGAATTACACCTATCCAAGATCGATCTTAGTGGCAGCATTGTTTGTGTACCTTCGGTAATCCGTGCCATCTCGGAATGGTCGTTCCCACCGGTCGGACTCTATCAAACATTGAACAATCACTGATTCCATCTTGCTTCAGTTCGTAAAACGTCGTTGTTATTGACTTCTCAATAGCTACGGTTTTGTCTTTTTCAGTGTGGTGGAAATTCGGTGCCCTCAATAAGTTGAACGTTCATTTTATCCACGTAATCTCTTCGATTCATAATAACGATACCTGTACCTCCGTCTGGTTTGGATAAGTTGATATCTGGGTTCCTTCTTAGTTCTCGCAGCGCATCAAGGTGCTCCTTAGATAAGATACTTTTCCTATCGTGTTGTTGACTCAAATACTGATAGCATGATTGTACAAAGGTGGATTTCAATACAGAAAACATTCCACATCTGTTTTAAGATTCCACGGACAGTTTAAGAGAGGAGTAAGGCGCGCATGTCTGACGCTCAAACCTCGAAAGCAAAAAAGATTTAACCGGCTGTAATCATTAATTGAGGAACATCACTGTACACGCTTTCTTCCACCAAGCCGACAAATGATTAAAGTCGAACCTCGCGGTTTTGCTTTACACCTGTAACTGAATTTGATACATGATATGCGTGATATTGTCTTGCCTTGTTAAGTCAATTGCCAAGTGAGGTCTTCATGAGGAATCCGAAGATGAACAAGTGAATTCATTCTCGTCTGTCCTCCACGCTTGGTAAATTGTTCACGAACGTTTCATCACCACCTAAGATGAGATCTTCAGTGCTTGTGAAATGGCAGTTTTCTGCTTATACACGTCGGCTTATGCATGTTCCGCTTCAGCGACTACTTTTCTTCCCTGTTCCTATTGTGAAAAAACCTTTCATTGGGAGAAGCTGATTGGTTTCCGAAGTGCGACTAACGGCAGAATTTCTGGAAGCTGAACTAAAATACGATTAAAATATTGCCACGATGAGGCTGGTTCACTTTCCGGGATTTTAACTGATAAATCTAGATGTTTGCTGTAATCCACAACACTGTGATATCACTAGTCATTATATGTCGTCTAACCACACTGGAATATATAACAAACTACTCTTTCTCTCTCTGACCCTCAACCCTCTTCCCCACGCGCATCGGCGATATCTTACACAGCGGGCTAACTCTGAACACCACAAAACCCGCCCTTCTGCTCACGGATCTGCGGGCTGATTCCACATACAATGTGGAAGTGTTCACAGTCAATCTGGCCGATGGTCGTCACTCGTCCGATTCTGCCCCGGTGCATTTTCGCACAAAACCACCTTGTGAGTGATTGCAGAGTTTGGCTCGATTGACAGAGTTCCAGTTGCTGATACCCTCTCTGATGTGTTCTGGACGATTGATCTGTTTCTATCTTCATACCTTGTTTGTCTATCTCCCATCTTCCCGCGATCAAAGATTCGTAGCATTCCGGAACTACTGATATAGTCTCTCGTGATTGCAAATGAGGAGAATATAATCTTGTGAAATGCGCCAACCGCTTGGGAAACTGTATCATTAATAGAAAGTTCAGTGAAAGCACGTGATAATTAACACAATTCCCTAATTCTACTCGATGTCAATCAAGGATTGTGTAGCCCGTTGTTCAAACTAGAAGAATATACGTAAAACTTCCATGTGACGAAATAAGCATGGGGCTGAATCAACAATCGCGACTGGGGGAGATTTGAAACGGAATGATNAAATACCTTTCCTGAGTGAATAGGAGACATAGTATGCGCTTTAGGCGCATGGTTTCAAGGAAATGCATCACAATAACAGTGATTATACGAAGGACAGAAAACAGCTCTATTGCACTCTGATGATTCACATTATCCTTTTGGAAGCAATGAAATGCATGAGCTCTGTCATCGATTAGATGAACACCTACCGGGTAATGCTAATGGTTGCCCAGAAAAAGCACCATTTCTCGACTTTGTGGTTTATCTCCTGCAAATTCTGACTGCTATGTTTGTACCATTGGAAAAAATATGCATCGAATAATACTAGCAGTCTAAACGCCAGGTAGAATATCATCCTTCTCTCTGTTTTGAGAAACCTGGAGAAACTTGTGCATAGGTGTTTCGCTTTAGTTCTGATAACTGATTCGGAGAATCGTTTCAGGTCAGAATCACGCTACCATTGCATTGCTTATATTCGGCGGTGTTTTGAATAGATAACCCAAGTTAGCGTTCGCGCCCCACCCCCGATTTGATTATGTCTCGACCTGTTTTTCAACTGACTTAGTTGCGAACTACTTTATCTCTTGTAGTTCATTCTTAAGCTATATTGGATTCAGTCTGCCCATCTGTGTATAAGCCGAAGATGATAACAACATAGAGGCAAATATCGATCACAACTGAATCACTATTTGTTGAATATATTTAATCAAAATATTTATTTGTTTGTAGAACAACTTCTGATGAATCAAAGGTCACTTATGGCTGACTGAATACAAAAAGAATGACCACACAACATGACAAAACCATCTGATTATCCATGTTCTATGAACTCTTTCTCTGAAAGTAAATCATGGTTAAGAGAAAATTCTAGACAGTTAATACTGTTGGGTATGGTTAAAAGCAAAGGGTAATTAGGAAGGAATTTCCTACGTTGGGGTTAATGCATCACCCCCCGGAAAATACAAACTAACTGATTGATTGTGAAGTCGATTCTACTCAAGGTCACCCCGGTTACACATGAGGTCTTCCGTGAACAATTTGAATATCCATATGCGTGACAGGCAGGATTGGTTGGTAGCAGAACTCATTGTTCTTTGTAGCATTTTCCTACTTGTCCTGAAGGTCAGACAAGTGATTTGGAGAGTGAAGACTCCGTGAACTAGATTTCCAAGCATTCACGAGTTTTGAAAGTTCATTTCTGTAGAGAGTAGCTGGAAGCTGTTCAAGTCAAGTCAGGAAAACGCTTTGTGCACCCAAAAGGTGAATTTGCAGCGATTTACGAACTAGTACAGTGGATGCGTAAAACAAATAGCGAAAAATAAAAATAAATAGAAGATAAGTTCCATACTGTAGTGAATATGAAAAAAAATAATGTCAGGATCATTCCCTGAGGTGCATAACAATTGTCTTACGATTAACCAATAGCCGTGCAATGAGTGAAATTACACTACTTCTATATGCTGAAGTACGCACCGGAGGGAATCGATAGTTGGTGCGAGTTCGAGGATTCGACAGGTCTTTCACGATTTTTCGGTGCAGACAGCGCCCTTGATCACGTGCTATCCCGTCAAGAAAGGTATCAAAAGCGTCAAAATACTTGAAAATAAAAAAGCTCAACTAAAACAACTCTATCAACTGCACTGTAAGAGGACAAAGGTTTCAGGGATCTGGACAGAAATTGAAATCTTTTTCTTTCAGACCTCGTTTGATTGCAGTGCGGAAAGATTCAGGCAATCACAAATTTAAGAATAAGATTATTTAGGAGCCTATATGTATGAAAGGTAGTTTGTGAACCTTTGCGGAAAGGCTGATGAGATATGCGGACCAGGACAGGCTATGAGTGAGGGTGACCCTAAGAGATTTAACATAAACAGGTTTGGGTATAGTTTGATTATTAATTTTAAGGCCAGGGAGAATAACTACCAATGGAGGATAACGGGGCCGGTTTGAAGACTTATTGATGTTTAGTACAACAACTCGGGGTGAAGACCGAAATCGACAAGATGGTTGACGAATTTTCCCGTCAAATACACACTATCAGGTAAGTTGCAAGCATGATGATTGCAATACCTGAACTGGTTCCCTTTGTGTAAAATATGACCCCCCTTAACTCCGACCCTGTTGATTGCAGAAGCAAGATATTGATCTGAACTGAAAAGCCTAATTATCAAATGCTTTTTACTGGATACTAAGGTCGTTAAGCTGTTGGAGTCTGAATAATTAGAAAGTTGTCCATAATCAATAATAATAATCGTTTAATTTCGAATGTATATCTTCATTCACACGTATACTAAGTTGAAATAAGTATGAAACGGAAGTAATTTGAACAAACAAGCTTTGTGATGGACATTTTATGAAATGGCTTGAGATGTATTAGAGCAGCTATCGACAATCTTTGAAAAATGAGAAGCTCATTCTGAAAAAATGGGCAAAGTCAAAATGCTGGTTGTGCAGATATTTGGTCTGGTACCGCGTACAATAAAACGATGTGTTATCATCACAGTGTTGTCTTGGTGACGGTTATTATTTTCTGCATACTGATCGTTGTCCTGCTCATTTACTAACGTTCTTCCAGTAGCTCAATTTACTTTTACAAAGAAACCAATAGCTTGGTCCATCTATTTCTAGGTAGTAATGAACAACACTCGATAGTTACCAAGAAAAATTAAAGAGAGACCAAGGAACCTAGGATGAGTGGACTGAATGGAATCGTTCAGTGATTCTGTGATGTGTTAAATAACACTGGATAGTCTGTGGATTTCTAGGCCTAGGAAAGCTTCCACGTCAATCGGGTTTTATATTAAGTGTTCCAAGATGACAATTTCTTGATAAGATATTTTAGGGCATGATACAAGACCCAAATTCAAAAGTGAAGGACGAAGAATTCTGAATGATGCTGGGACGTTTTCATAAATATGTAATTAATTCGATGGTATGAAGAACGACATCATTTCAGAGAGCCACCGCACCTATCTGCAACTTAACCCTCAGAGACTCAAATAAGATTGGTGAAAACCATCAATGCATGTTGAAACTTATACTTTTTGCAGATCGTCGCAACCTTTACCGAAAGGTTAAACGATCATTCGATAGATATATGTCCAGATTTACTTCAGTCCGAGTGAAACATTTCAGCATTAATCGTTACGATGCGGGCTTGGGGCGAAGAATTTTCTCATAGTAGTTCTGATAACAGTTTGGTATTTGGCCGGAAACACTTGTAATTTTCCTAATTGATTGGTGTTGATCGGCAAGTGAAGTAGATGTTCATTGTAGTTTGACTTTTGTTCAGTCATTGGTTTTCCCAATGAATGCGACTTTTCCCGCCGCCCCAATAGCGATTAATGAAAATTGTAATTAGTCGTCGCAAATAGAGGTTTCTTCAAGACAACAAAAATGAAACATTCGAGTCTACATTTCAACAAGAAGACAGTTACACTAAAAAGTGATAGATCGGGTTTTACCACCAAAGAACAGTGAACGCAGTTCTGAGAAAAGAAATGCACTTATGAAAATGACATCAAATACATTCGTCATTGTGAATTCACTGAATGTGTCGTTGAGGTATATCGTTGCTTGATAACGCGATAACCGTAGATCTCTTGGGGAATTGAGACCCTAGTTAATTGAGTCGACAGGAAATTTTTCTTATTGCAATAGAGAAATCAATGTCAAAGTGAATCTGTCATGTATTCATCCAAACACAACTCAATCAATCGAATTCACTTGACGACCATTCAAAAATATTTTTACGAGTAAATTAATTAGTGGTTGCATTACGCACTAGTTCAAGGGATTCTATATTCTGCTCTTCTAGGCGTACAACTGAATTGAATTGAACTAGAGATCGCCATTCAAACACATCTACATTGTTCAGTTATGAACCGCTTATCTCCGTGTGACACTAATCGATCACTGATTAATAATCATCCTTCTTCCCGCCACCATATTCCACAGTGTATCGCCCCATTGCCGTTACGGATTTGGCAGCAGATGCCGGTGAATTCCGTACGCTGATTTTGTCATGGAAACCGCCGTTGAAATCCAATCTCCCCCTGTCACCTTTGGATGAGATCTCCAACTATCGGTGGGTTTATCACACAAACACACTTCATTGTCCCTCCTGCTCTGAACCATCACCTATGTTCATCTAGTTCCATCGATATTTCTGTGACTGCGTTTTGTCACATATCACCTGATAATCTATTTAATACTACTGTTCAGCCAATGCTATTATGGGTCACCGACTATTTCCCAATCAAAACAGTGCACTCAGTACAATGCGCTCGCACACGAACGCGGTGATAAGAATGAGGTGGACCATATGACCTCACATGGTATGATATTTGAGCAGTCAATTAGCCATGGCAACACTCAGTAGTTAAGTGAGGTAGACTTATGCGATAGACCGTGATGAGGAAGCAGAAGATGACAATTGTGTTGCTTCCCTTCCCCTCGACGGTAACAATGTTTTCAACTGGAAGTTTGGTAATCAAGTAGAACTGGCAAATGTGTGGTACTGGAGATAGGGGAATTCGTTTTGTATGAAATGAATAAAATATGAAAACTGGACTAACACGGAAGTGTGCTCCAACTATTTCAACATCTCCCTTTCACATCAAATAGTAAATTTCCTGACCTGACGGGATCCATTATGTAACTGAATGATCTTCGCCCCTTAATGAGTTGAAACGACTGTTCAGGATTGTTGAAAAGAGCACAGGTATGCTGGCTGTGAGCAGGGCTGATATTCAAGCCTTTGCCCTTGCAAAGGGCATCTATTTTGACATAACTCTAAGAGAATCCAAAACATCAGCGGGAAAATTATTTGAGCAACGTAATGTATTTTCTTCTCGTTTTCATTTTATCTTCTTTTACTGAATGTACAAAGATACAATTTCCAGGAAGGGGAAGCGGCCAATCAAAGGGCTGCCATTGAACACGCAATGGGGAAGTTCAGGTGATGGTGGTGGGATTCGAACACACATCCCCGGGGTGATAAGTTGGTGACGTTACCACCGGGCCATCGCAATACTGCTTCAACTGGAAGATTCTGAAATTATTAAACGTACACAGGGATGAAAGTAATTTGTTGATGACAAATGTCTCCAAACACCAACTCGTCATTATGAGTATCGTCTATAAAACTGCAGCGTTTATAGGTCTGGGATCTAAGTGATCACTGGTCAAATGGATATCTCTTTGTTCTGGATTTTGTACAGTGATAAAGAAAGCACACTTTTTGCCGGTAGTTTGGTAGTTCAACTGCACAGAAGAAGAATCTCACCTCTGATCACCGTTTGTGACAACGAAGATAGTGCTCAATGTGTTTTGGTTGTATATCTAAAACGAAATGTCACTTCGGATGGTGATGAAACGTTTGTGACCGGAATATCATTCCAACTATACTCATTGCAAGCAAAACCAACCACTTTTTAATCAATCTTATTCTTCTTTTACCGGCACTTTGTGCCCATACCAAACGAAGTTCCCCATTAGATAGGGTCTAACGGTGCGCCTGTACCGCTCAAATTTCTCAAAAACCCCGTGTGTTTTGGTAGTTTCAAGGTTCTGTTGTGTAATACCGATCCCACGTCACGGTCACATGAATGTTCCCTATCAGTTGTGTATACTTTTCTTAACTCAGTGCTGTTTATCGTCAAGAGAATCTCAACCACGGTCAGTGAATATCTCCATTGTTGTATACTTTGAAGCAATTCTGTTTCCATTGGTGACACATTTAGACATGACCTAATTCATGATATACTCACTACTGCCACCTCTTCCAACTCCCTCTCTCTCTTCGTAAACATAAAAACAAAATGATTGTCAACGGTGCGCAGAATAACAATGTTTAATTTAAAGCCAAACAGCACGGATCGTCGTGAGGAGCAGGCGAAACCCTTACTGATCACAATTCCGACGACAGAACTTCGACGCCGTGGGGACAGACTCAGTTACACTGTGTCAGACCTCACTCCGGACACGTTCTATCAGGTTTCAGTGCAAGCCGTGACGAAAAAAAATGTCACTGGGTATCCTGCTGTGCTCAGCTCTTCTGCTCGTGTCGCGTCTCGACCGCCATCCAAAGCGCCAACTCAAGTGAGTAATCTCAGCTGAAAATATAATCTAAATAAGAACTACGAAATTGAGATTGAATAAGAGGCACCAATCAAGGCATTTAAAAGCCTTTCCACTTTTCTCGGCAGTGTTAACATGCGGCAATCAGATTCTGACTACAGGATCAAAACAGAAAATATTCACAAAGTAAACCACTCAACGCATAACACAGGTACATATTTTGATAAATGCAAGCAAGCTTACTTATTCCGCCTTCACCTTGTAGTCAAATTCCTCGGTGAAAGGGTAAACGGATCCGTTACATTTTACTTCTTATTGGAACGTTACAAGTCTATCAGTACACCACGTTGTTTATCACTGGAAGCTGAAGATCCCACCTTCCTATTTCTCTGACATTCCAAATTATCTCAATGCCACGCTACAACTTGTATTTCCTTCATTCTGGTTTGATACTTAGCCGCCCAAAATTCAAGAATCTGTAAAACTAGCTCACCATATGCGCCGAATGAAATGGAACTCCTGTTCCAGCTACGTTGAACTATATGTGGCCCTGAAGGTGGTGGTCGACGTCAACCGGTGTAGGTCACTATCACTGGAGTGTTCCAAGTGGCAAGGTTTAAGGCTCGAAACTAATCACTGCCACTGAACTTTCGCGATCGGTTGCTTTTGCTTCATGCGATTCAATAGCATAAATTTAAGGCTTCACCTAATCCGCTGCTCCATGTTCTGAGGCTGGTATCTATAATTGATCCTCTTTCGCATGAAGACCACTACTTCTACCGCTGAGCACATCGTGAAAGGAATTTGGGTGATTTCCAGCTGATTAGTATCTCAAATTGCCTTGTTGGGTAGCTGAAAGATTTATTTGGGAAATTCCAGTGAAATATGACGAGTGAAAGCTGGTTTCACGTAAAGAGCGGAATTACAATAAATGGTCCATAAGGAAAGGACTGCACGTAGTGATTACGCAATGGAAACATTCAGGTGAAATCTATCTTATCAATTTTCCCGGAAAATTTTAAGTTATACGTTTGCCATTGAAGAAAAAAAAATCTCATATCTTCCTTGGCTCAGATGTGATACCGAAGTGCTCCGTATTTTGCGTGGCTCAGAAAATATCCCAAACAAAGCTTAGAACCCTTGAGAAGAAAACAAACAAAACCCCGCCGTTTTAGACTGACGACCTTTGGTTCAAGAATTACAATGCCTGGGTTCATCAGTCTTTACATAAAAGTCGATGTTTACAGTGATGTTATAAAGATAATGTGACAATTTCTAGACTGATGTTTGGCTGCAGGATTGTGACGTCTTTCTTCAGTTAATTCTTGCATTTTAATAAGTTTTGCAAGTAACTGTGCCTGCATTTCAGTCAAAAATCTTTGATCACTTTGATAATAATAATGAGTTATGTAAAATAATAGTGAAAACGTTGGTTTGTAGGTTTGAAATCAGATTGCGTAGGACGTTTTTCATGCCAGGTAGAGAATGAACTAAACAAGGTACGGTTGAATTACATCAAATGTTCATACGAGATGCTAGGCAACCAAAGTTGGATCTCGTTGTGGAGTGGGAACGGTAAGTAGATAGGTCAGGACTGAGTGGGTGACTGTGGCCGTTGAGGTTCTTATGGGCAAAGTTGTCACAAAATTTGTGTGCAAACTAGACCGTTTGGGGATTAGTGTTTATGGGAATAGGAGAAACATATCTAATAACTTCCAAACCACGGCGAAAAACAATGGAATCCTTTTCAAGTGACCAGTGGAAATCACAATGCAACAGTATGGCAGGAAAAATGCACTGATAAACAAAAGAACATATGGTTGAATGCTCCTTTTCCAAGCGACGCAGTCTACTAACGCTGTCTTACACATGGTAGATTGCCCTCTAATGCGAACTCTAGATGTTTGGTGGTGTGGTATGGTAAGGGGTACGGAAGTGATGACTGATGGTTCCAATGGATATGCAGACCGAGAAAAACTCAAGACCTGTGTTGTGAGACACTACTCACTTGTGAGTAGTCGGTAACTTTCGGTGATTAAAAATAGAACAAGACCATCAAGGACCAAGTAATATATTTGGGAAGAATAAACACTGCCTGCTATACCCATTGCCCCATGTGTCGCGATGTGCTGCGAAGGCATGTTTCTGATGAGCTTTTCGTGTTATGCATGCAAAATTAGTGAACATTAATCTGTATTTTGCAATAAAGAACTCTCCTCGACCAGCACCGCCTTTTCGGAATATAATAATTGGTGCCGTCTCCAGGGTCAGGATGAAGGTTCCGTGGCCAGCAGCCTTCGAGGATGGGGATGTGCGGATGTTCCTGGAGGAGTTCGAGGATGTGGCGGAGTTGGCCGGAATACGGACGGATCGCGGCAAGTTGACGGCCCTCCGAGCGCTCCTCAAGGGTCGTGCGCGGGC